GAGTGATACAGCACAAGTTGCTTCTAGCATAAGTTATGCATTTTTGAAGTTAGAAGCACAATAGCTGATTTTGCTGCTGAACCTTAGTTTTTTTCGAACCAGAAAAAAACATATTAGGCTAAACTCTTTCTGTGTCTATAATAAATATCGTTCTTGATCATTTAACAAGTTCAATCAAAAAAGATAATTAAGATACTATTTATCTTAAAAATTGGAAGTGGTTCTCGTTTTCTTTTCATTAGCTTAAGTGATCGATTGGGTGTGGATGGCTGTAGGTGTGTGGGTGTGTCAGTGTATTCATGTGAGTTTTTATCGTTTTATGAATCACCTATACCCACACCCGCTCTCAATTCTTATGTTCTCAAGTCAACCATTCTTGCTAGCGGATCCAACCGATTGCATTTTATTTCGGTCAGTTACGTTGTATTCTTGTGTATTTCTGTAATCAAGTTACAGTCAGTTTTCGGATCGAAAAAATCTGATGCTTTCATCAATGAATCCGCTGAAGATATATCGGAAACAGAACGAAATGTTTGTCGGATCCTCGTAGCAAAGAAAATGAGGGAACATAAAGAAACGGGATCAAAATTATTAATGTTTTACACTTTGTATTAAATGGATCTTGAACATATTTTTATAAATCTAGGTCATATTCTTAAAAAAAGCATATGATTTCATGAAAAATGATAGTTAGAAAAGGTTTCGGTTCAGTTAGCTCTGTGTAATCTCAATGTTTTTCTGAAAGATTCTTTCCTGAGAATTCTAAAAATGAAGTACTATGGCTCTTCGAGCGTGACATGACGGAATAGTCAGCTAGTTTCTTTTTAGATAAATTTTCTGACATACCTGTTCTAAATTGATATCAACCATTTCATTTGGTTTTCGTTTAGTCAAACGACAGACAGTATCATTCCACGAGATCTCACATCTCATTGATGTGTCAATGTGAGAAGTAATGACTGGTGTCGTATAAACCAAGAGCATTGAGCTTCCCAACCTCGCAGAGCAGGACACAAACCAACGTTTGTCATCGATCCAGAACGCTGCTCGAAATGGACCTATGAGTGTCTGGAGACTAATAAAGTCATCATGTTTGGAAAGATAATGAGAGAAGCAGAATTCAAATTTATTCAGATTCGATAGTTTCATTCGTATGATTTGTTCCCAATAATGGCCATCAAACATGGAGTCGATCTTGTCTCTGAGAGATATCAATTTGAGATGGACAAGTGAAGGTATTGGTAAAAGTATTAATTCAAATTGTTTTGTAGAAAGTGAACACTCAGTGATAGTTAAAGATTTCAAAGAGTCATGATGTGTGAATTCAGATGTCAATAGTTCACAATCCTTATCATTCACAGAACAATTGTTCATGACAAGTGTTCGTAAAAAAGGTAACTGATTAAGAATTAGAAGATATTCACCATAGTTGCATTTAGTAAACACTAATTCCTGTAATCGATATTGGTCTGGCCACGATATATGTTTTGCCATGTAACTCATATTAATCATAGATAATTTTCGAAAATTCCATCGAACAAGTGCTGATGAAACAAGTGCCCATGTTTTACTATGATCTTTCTCACTGGATTCAATAGTAAGCGAGATCAAAGGAGCAATGCTCAGATTTTTTAAAATATTTTCCAATTCTGTATCTTGAATTTGATTTAAAGTTAATGAACAAAGTCGAGGAAATTTTTGATCATTTAACCATGACTTTAATGAATCGAGTGTGTTTCTTCTATGCTCATGCGAGACAGTCAAAGCAATGACATTTCTGAATTGAACGAGAGGAGCAAGCCGTTTCATGACCTCCTCTACTTTTGAATGAATTGTGAGCTTAAATCGCTCATAGTTATTCACACTGTTATAAAATGTTTTGCATGTACGACGAAGAGAAAAAAGAAGCGTTTGGATATCGCAATAGTGAAAAATATGATGAATTAGTTCCTGTGGCAAATCAAGAAGAGACGAATTTGCCATTGCAATACCAGTCGAAATCGTTGACATTAGTTGCCAAATATTCTAGAAAAAACTTACATTTGTGAAAGAGAGTCTCACATCACGTGGATTCAATAGTCTTCAGGTAAAAAAAACCGTCGACAATAGCTCGCAGATGCATACTCTAACTGCTGTATGCAGCCATATAATACAGAGAGCTTACGAGAAAGAGGAACACTTAACTATGGATCAAAAATCGGACAAGAAGGATGCACTGCATTGTTTTTTTTAGAGCGCGTTTTGAACGAAAGCGATAAGCTAGAAGTAGAAGATTTTCTTCATGGACGGACCTATGATCAACCTCATTAGAAGGAAACGGAACAGACACGCCCTGAAACAAATCGTGAGAACAATCTGATTGAAAAATACTCTATTTGAACTATAGCTTGATCTATATATATCGACAACATAATGAGTATACCAACAGTAAGAATAAAGGCAAGCATTTCAGTGAGTTAAGTCTCTAAATGTGTTGAGATGCACAGCGGAGTAAGATAGAAAAGACATCTGTTCCAGCGAACACAGGGCATCAGCAGAGAGTAATCATCATACATATAAAATAGAATATGTACTACAAAACAGGTATTCAAACTATACATCTTCTCATCACTAGTAGATTGTTCTAGACCAACTAAACGATACTGAACAGATCATTCATGCGATAAATATTTGTAAAGGGAATACCAAAAACGGTGAATATTATGCTTGAGAATGAACGAAATGTCTCCATAATAAAAACTCACCTGACGAAACAAACGCGGAATCGAAATGAAGAATTCTGTCTTTCATCATCCTTTTTGTATACTTTTTTCCATCTCTGGAGCGTCAGAATGAAGGTTAGAACACATAGAAAAAGAAGAAAGAACGTAAAAAACGGCGTTTTCATTTTCTTTATTTCTTCTCAGGATGGTATATACGGCCAAAACACTTTTTGTTTTTGCTTCACGATAAAATTCTCTTGCCTCTTGTTGTTAGCTTTTATCCTAGTAGTTGCTCCCTGTTTGAATTACTCAGAATTGATCAAATAAATGATAAGAAATAACGTAAAAAGAATTTTACCACACAAATGTAATACTCTTTTTCGAATTCATTCAGTTTTTTCCCCATATACACTTTGATGACTAACAATTTTTTGTTTTTCTTTCATGATAAAATTCCCTTGTTTTGTTGTGACTTTTATCTCAGTAATTTCTTGCTTTCTCGCATGTAGAAAATGTGTCAAAGTGAAATTAAATAACATAAAGACCAGTTCGTCACAAAAAAGCAATACTCATTTTCATATTCTGGGTGGTGTCTTGCAGGTGAGTTGTGATCGAATGAGTCGTAGTTTTATTTTGTTGTTTTTCTTTTATTTTGATATTTGACTTTTCTTCGATTAACTAACTAGTCTAATTTTCGTGTACAGGACCTATATTCGAAAAGATAGAACTATCGAAGACAGCAGAAGGTATCACGAAAAATACAATTGCTATTTTCAATTCTTTATTCAAGTCATGGCTCATGATTTGAAGATATCTTATCGTATATATTTCTTGTAAAGAGAAATAATAAAAGCAAGATGGATGCTTCTCAGTCAATTTGAAATGGAGCCGATCCGATGTAAAAAAAAAATTGCGGTAAGAAATAAGATCGAAAGTCGATTTTGTCAGCATATAAAGAAAGAGTTCTCTGATATTTCAAAATGGATTATAATTGATGAATATCGATTTTAATCTGATTTCTCAATGAAATTTTTCTCATCGGGTACACATAAATACTGTAACTAGAAAAATGAAGTTGGAGTCTATAGTTGGAGGAAGCCATACCACAACAGCGTCTTTCTTAAAAAAGATTAATAATGACATATTCTAAAAGGTCGTGAAGTTGCCTATTATCCTATAAATGTATATGTTCATTTGTACTAGTCTGCTACAAAAAAATCGAGTGTAATGAAAAGAACCTCATCACTAGATTCTCAGACACTGAATTGAATCATTGTCGTTCCACATAGTTTTCAAAGGTTTTTACAGCTTTAGAAATACTTTCAAAAAGATCACTATATATTCTGATTGGCCTCGAAACTTTTTATCATCATATATATTTATCTATGATCTTGCATTCAGTTATTGAAAACAATTCCACTACGTTGAATAGATCTTTCAGCAAATAAATATAAGGCTCAACAAAAGTATACAGAGTGATAGAGAATTTTGAGCTCAATTAAAATCTGTAGTGATCGATTTCGAACATATTTCTAAAGCTGTAAAAATCTTCGAAAACTATGTGGGATGACAATGATTTAATTCAGTGTCTGGGAACCGAATAATGAGGTTCCTTTTATTACACTCGATTTTTTTGTAGCAGATTAGTACAAATGAACATATACATACATAGTATAATAGACAATTTCGGAACCTTTCATAATATGTCATTATTATTGTTTTGAGAAACACACTGCTATGGTAATGATATCGTCCAAATATAGACTTCAACTTAATTCCTTTAGGGGTTAGTATAGAACGAGTCTTCATGCAAAGCTACAGATCCTTTATCCTATGTCATAGTTAAATCTTATTCTGATTGTGCTGAAAGCTGTTTTGAAAATGACTAATCCTTGATCATTTGTAAAAATTTTTTTCATTCTGAACTCTTTCAGATATTTTTTTAAAGTCTTTCTTAAATGGCAAATAAGAACGATAATAAAGACATTTATTATGAAAGATTAGCAAGACAAAAGCAATATTTTTCACAAAATTTTGGCTGTTCAACGTCACCAAGCTTTTATTATATTCATTTTCATGATGGACATTCACATTGGATGAAATATCAATGGGGTTGGAATTTAAGTTATTTGAATTTAGATGATGGAGATCCAACACCATGTGGTAAATGTGTTTTTGGTTTTACGGCTCTTTGCGAAAGATGCTATAGGGAAAACAGAGATAAAATACAAGTCTTATGTCAACAATTCGATAAAGAAATAAAAGAAAATCATCAAGAAACAATTCAAGATATTATTCAAGATGGAAGAAAAATAAAAATTACGTATTTCAAATAGAGAATTTCAACACTGACATTGTTCGGCCATGTATTTCAACTATCCTGCCAATCTGCTGCATCCGAACTCATAAATTATTTTGTTTGTTTATTTGAATACATTGGGTATTTCTGCAAGTTTCTTATATTTCTTTCTAGAAAAGGTATGGATGTCGATGAGGAAAACAGTCTTCTCTTCATTGTCATTCACACCTATAATCGACGAAGAAACATTCAAGACTTTCAAAATAAAATCTATCTATAAAGTATCAGATGTTCTCAAACATGCTTATAAACACACGAAGAAAATGTTGATAATAGTTGATAGATGAAAATATGGTTGAAAAACTTGTGAACTGTGTCAATCTTTCAAACAAGAAGGACTTCTTTTTAGTAATAGGGTGTCGGTGTGGATGTGGGTCCGGGTGAAGAGAAGGTCCACAACCACATTCACCCACACCCATGTCCACACCCTTGAACTCTTATTAAGAGGATGTGGATGTGGGTGTGAAGTATGGTAGTGAGTGCGTCGCTGGGCGTAGATTGTGGATGGATGTGTGTACCCTCTCTTCTTTTGGTGGACACTCATTTAGTCCCATTAATTTTCGTCTCCTTACACTACGTCTCATTCACTTCGTTCCTCACTCATTTTGTCCCAGTGTCATTTCGTCCCATACACTTCGTTCCAAACTCATTTTGTCCCGTTACACTTTGTCCTACCGAAGAAGTCGTTTCTGACGATTCTACTTAATATACAATGTCATGTACTATCATCTTCTACGTTTAATATATTAAATAAAATGAAGAATGAATAACAGTTCAAGAATTTAGTCTCACGTTAGCAGCCATATGGGCCAGATCTTGATGGTGGGGGTCACAGCTTTCGCATCGAAAAATACGTTTTTCATCAGTCAATCGGTGTTGCATGTACACGAACTCACCATGATACGCAATTGGATTTCCTCTTTTACTCTTCAAAATTTCAATATCACCCATCGGTCATATAGATAGCAACACGTGATTGAATCAGCAGTTGCCGGGATTAATTTTTTTGGGATTTATTGGGATTTTTTAATAAATACATGTACGTTTTTAAATAAATCTCGCACTATCTTGAGAGTGAGGGCGCAGACGCCAGTGTTGGTGATGGCGAAGAGGGCAGCAGTCGAATGAGGGTGCATAAAAATCTTGATACAGTTAATAAATCCCAATAAACCCCCATTAAATAAATCCTGATAAATCCTATAGAAGAAATAAATCCCAAAAAAATAAGTCCCGGGAGCTCCTCGATTAAATAGCAAAGAAGAACAGCTTTACGTAGTGAACAAGATTTGAGTGTGAATTTTTTTTTTTGTTTCTGTTTCTCTTTCGTTAAAGTTAGCGAATCATATTAAAAAAGTAGGGACAAATTGTAGAGGGACAAAGTGTAACGGGACAAAATGAGTTTGGAACGAAGTGTATGGGACGATATGACGCTGGGACAAAATGAATTTGGGACGAAATGAAAAGGGACGAAATGAATGGGACGTAGTGTAAGGCGACGAAAAGTAATGGGACGAAATGATAGGGTGCCGATTACTACTTTTAAAAATCGATTAAACATGATTCATGTTTTGAATGAATTGACGATTGATTTAAATAAACTGCAATCAAAATAATTTGTGATAACGAATTATAAATCCATGACCTAGCTTTTTGTTGATTGAGATTTCAATCAATGAAATAAATTAAAATTGATTAAAATCTGATTATAAATAAGAACATAAAAAAATCGATTGACTAAATTTTTTTCAATCGATTTTAATACAAATTTATGTGTAAAAAGTGGATGATTGAGAGAAAAATTGAGATTGATGTACTGATAATAAAAAATAACCTTGCTTTTTCATACGTATATTTTTCACTATAGTAGCTCATCAGCATATGTAAAGAGAGAAAAAGAAACGTCACGATCGAATCCTTGAGGTATAATGCTTTTTTCTTCGATGTAATTTAGTTTTTCTCTTTATCACACACGTTTCAAGCAAGTTTGTACAGATGCGTAGGATATGACTATCAGATTGAATAATAATAATAAACATGGTTTAACAGAGCATAATAACGTTATTTACATCGTCAATAAAATACTTTCTATACAGCTTGTGCAATAACAAAATAACGCAGTAGCTATAGAAAGATTTACTAGTGAGAGAATAATTTTGTTAATAAGCAACAATGATATTCAATGAAAAAATAAAAATAGTCGCATATGAAAAAGTATAGTAAGTAAGACCGTTGTTATATTTTTATTTTATATTTAAGATCCAAAGAATTTAAATAAAATACATATTACTAGTTAAAGTATTCGATCATGCTCATTCAGGTCGATTAAAACAGATCCGATTACAGTATATAATCAAAATTTAAATGGTGAAAAAGTGTATCTTTATGTCAGTAAATGATGTATACTCGAACCATTATGGTTTCGTATTTAGTTGTTTTATCTAGCGCAGAAATGCGGATATTAAATTATTGATCTCGTAAATAAATTATACATTGAGCGTAGACGATGTATTACGATCACTTTAAATCATAGTTTAGGTATTCGTAAACGGGCTATATTTGTGCAGTTTTTGCATTGTAAATTATTGGTTCACAAACTGGATTTTCTTTGATGATACAGTCGTGTCGGTGTGATTATTTTTAGTTGTAGTTTACGGTTTGGCATCTTGCACTGAAAAACAATAGGAGCGATACTGAATTTAAGAAGGGCTTCGAGTGTTGAAATGAATTCGAAACCATTTTGAAGTTTCGTACAAAAACAGTTGAGTACAAAGCTTTTTTCTCTCATTTTAAATCAGATTTCATAGTCGAAGTTACATCCGATGACCAATATAATATCACTGAGCACATCCACACTCTTTCAATGTCTAATTCTATCGATTTGTAATCATATCTAACCTCATATTTGTATGCCTGATTCCTTATATGTATACCTAATTTTTTATTTCTATGCGCAACCCTTATTTCTATATGTAATCCTTTATTTCCCGGCCTGCTTCTTTATATGCATATCGAAACGATGATTTCTGTATCGAATGCCCGGTTTCTATGTTTAACATCTGATTTGTATATACAATTTTTAATGCTACGGTATCGTTTCTTCATTTTTATTTGATCTCCTACTTATTTCTCGATCGGCCTGTGATTATATGTATTGCTTACGTCTATAGTCACATTGATTAATTGAGACCTACGATTCTACGTCTACTCTTTTCTTTTAGGTCTGTCCGTCTCTCTCTTTATGTTAAAGAGAAAATGAACAAATGCTATATTATCTGAGCTAAGTGAAACCCAAGGAAAGACAAGAGACGTAAAAAAGCAATCGATATTAATATAGTGATTCACAGGCATAAACTTACATCCTTGTGCATTTGTGCCATACTCTAGAGGTATAGCAAAGTTTTCTAAAACCACACAAGTTTCGTTTGGCATCTTTTTTTAGTGCTCTGTATCATAAACGGTCGTTTGCATATCGTATGCTTCAATCTTGACTTACAACAAATAGATAAACACTAAGACTAAAAACAGTACCTTAGTGGGAGGAAAACTAAAAACTTTATTAGCGCAACCTCTTTGGGGCTTAACTGTGAAACTCACGTAAATTGTTTAGCCCCATTGAACTTTTTTCTTTAGTAAATTGGTAATGTCTGTCATGGGAAGGTGGTGGGTAGCCAAAAAACTTCGACTTAAAATTTAAACTCATAATTTTCTTCGAAAAAACATGTGGGTTTCACCAAATAGAGTAATCTCTACCATCTGTGGTACTTACCATTTAACGAAGAAGAAACGTGTGGATAGTAATTAAAAAACTGTATTTTTTTGAAACAAGCTTACAAAGAGTGTTGAAGTACGTAAATAGTGTAGATTTTTGCACCCCACGATCGTAGACCGTGACAGACGGCCTTCAAGAACCAATTGAAACTGTGACAAAAGTTTTTGGTACACTATAAGCTATCATATATTATTAACATCTTATGAGAATATATAAATTGCCTTCTTATGACAGTTTTAGAGAACTAAGTAAACGATGAACAAATGGACTTTAAGATAGATTGAATAAAATAAGGGTGTGGGTGTGAATGTGGGATGTCTATGAACAGAAAACAAACCCTTTCACACACATCCACCCATATATGTGAAATTCGAAAGTAGAATTCGATTCAACTTTCCATATTCAAACAAACACAGCGATTCTCTTCATATGGGCGCGGCGGAAACAGACAATCAAAATTTGAAAAGTAGTTGTTTACCTAAATGCAAGTTTCAAGATTGATACTACTGCTTACACGATGTTCTGTGGACGTGTTGCCATGTATATTTCTATGGCATCTTCAGCTAACCTCTTGCTGTCTGGTCTCGATGCTGTGATAGTCTTATGTGGTACAGTAATTATATATATTTGTCAAGTGAAAGAGAATGTACAAATTGTCCTGCAGTCTAGTTTTCTGTTGTTTACAACATTCCATTCAACTATGCAATTGATAATTGTAGCACGTAATCAGTGATCGATATAAAAAAAGTATCAAATGCCGTATATATTCAGAAAACTACTTTGTAGGACAAGATATTTTCAGTTTCATAAGTTACTGATGAAGCTCTATTGAATGGAAAGTATCTGCAAGAAGACCTACAAGAAAATTTCCAGTACCTGAAACCTAGTGTTAACATAAAAGAAAAAAGCTATGGGAAATAATTTCAAGTAAACAGAAGGCAAAAAAAAATATCCCAATAGATGTATGAAATTTCATTTATTTGATTTTTTGTATATTTTCTAGAGAATAATTAAACTATCTCAATGGTCTATTCGACAACTAAACCACTGTTCTTATGTGCCTACACCTACAATATTTCTAATATACTCCATATCTTCTAACGAAGGATGGTTCAGACTTTCTGACTCGAGTTGAATATTAAGTTTTTTTGATTGAATCCTCTATGTCATGTGGTTAAAAAGTAATAATCTTAGAAGTGTGCTTCACA